AAAAATGGAACCGTTAAACCGTTGACAGTAATGTAACATGACACTCCTAGCAACTTAGATGAGGTCCTGCGACAATATGAGCTATGAATGCTAAGGGAAGTCACCCTCTTTTTGGGCCCAACTTCATGAGTTGTACCCTTTTCTTCTCTTTCTTTTTCCCCCCATCCAAAATTGGGGCCATGAAATGCAAACTGAAAATTCCAAGTTTCAAAAAGCACGGTTAACTACTTAACTATTGATACAATAATAAATTACTAACAATACGTATGAAAATATGAATATAAAAATTTGATGATATGAGTACATGAATAGAAGGTTTAAACCCTGGATCACTACTCATAGATGCACAACCTTTAAGATGAGTTAACAGTAATGTGAAAGGTAGTGGCTGTATGAAACACACGTAAAACCCGCGTGCTAAACACATTCTGTATTTATCGGCACAAAGAGAATAAGAGGGATAACATGTGGTATCCATGATCATGTGATTAAGCAATTTTCCAGGTAAATACGTAATTAATCAGGTAATCACAACTCCAAATTTGTAGCAAAAGGGTCATCCACCTTATACTGGCTCCACTCCTTTGCCAAAGAAAATCACACAAAATGTCCATCACTGACCCTTGTTTAAAAAAAAAAAAAGATGAAACGGAGTGCAGACTCAGCACAGCCAGTAGCAAAAATAAGCATCAAATGCATAAGGCAAGAGCTAGAAGTGCCAACACAAACTGTCTGACAACTATAAAGGTGGTAGCATTGGTTTCTTACCAGGAACACCGAAACCTAGATGCTTAGGCCAGTTGCCCCCCTCCCCCAAAACTTTACAAAATAATTAATTTATGTTGTATTGTGGAGGAGATAGGGAGGGGGGGGGGGGGGGGGGGGGGGTTTGCTAAACCTTCTCCTTCCTCATCACCACCAATATTTTCCTATGCTGATTCTTTTTCAGAATTGACATAGCTCCCAGGTCAACCCAGCCTAAAATGGGTACTAGGTAACATCGTGGGATGTAAAGGCGGCAAGCATGTTTACCGCATATCCCCTCAAATGTTGTTCGATCTATAGAAATATCTCTAGCACTAAATGCCTAATGATGTATCTCATTGTAGTACCTAAAGATTTATATTCTTATATCATGTAATTTGTCATTCTGTCTGGACCTATATCCTCTGCTTCTGCCAGTCACAATTAATTGCGTGTGCAATTACTGATCTGTTGCAACTGCTGCTTCCATCCATTATGAACTGTATTTCTAGTGTTGGACAATTTGTGTTAACACTCCTGATGACTGCCTTATGCATTTAAGGTGTGTGCGTGTGTGTGTGCAACTACTGATCTGTTGTAACTGCTGCTTCCATTGATGATGAATTATATTTCAAGTGTTGGACTATTTGTTTTAACACTTCTGATGACTGCCTTATGCATTTAATGCGTGTGCGCCCTACTGGATTTGCCGAGACTGCAGTCTGTGTACATTTTTTCACAAGGGGCAGTGAGGGACATTTATTGTTGTTTTCTTTGGCACAGGAACTGCCACTATGGATTCACACATTTTCTATGCAATTGGAACTGTGATTACCTGATTATCTTTGTATCCTGATCAGTACCTGGGATTTTATTTATCATGCTGCTTCAGTGGCCTCAGGGGTTTCCCCAACAATTATTACATGCAGAAACAGCATTGTTCCTGGTACAAATGCAGAAATGGTTTCACTCAGTATTGAAATACAGAAACTGTATAACGCAATTTGAAATACAGAAACAATTGTCAGTCAGTGTTCAAATTCATAATCAGCATCATTTAACATACAAATACAGAAACTATAAAAAAAAGAGTGTACAAATACAAAATATCACTCAACAAAGAAATAAATGAAGCATCATCATTCAAAAAACAGTATAATTCAATGTACAGTTAGATAAACTGTGCAATTCAACATGTGAGTGTAAATTCACTTTAACGTACAAATAAGTTAGTTGCTTATCCTTTACAGACGTTACAGAGCCAACCTCCGCATTTATTTTTTGGCTGATTGTGATTTTGCTATGCAATTTTACATTCAGTAGTTTGCCATTATTTCCTGAATAATGAGCTCTCGATGGTCCTGTCAAAACTAAAGCAAGGCAGTCTGCTGCCAAATCGCTGGCAGCTAGAATCTAACCTGGCACACCATAACCTTTCAATTATCAGATCAACTCCCACAATTATCAAATCACTGCAGTATAAAAACACTCAAATGTCAAATCTCTCAATGATCAAATCACTTGATTATCAAACACATGAGTAGAGTAACTTAGTTATCACATTACTCAAAATCAATCTGCTCAGAATGAAATCATTCAAATATTAGACATATAAGAGCTCTCATAAAATTTTTTAAACAAAAGTATCAAATAATAAATTCATTAACAGCATTATTTACTGAACCAGTTCAGTTTTCATCAATAAGCAAGCATACAAACAAATATTTAAAAAATAACAAACAAAAAAACAATTAACACAAACAGCAAACACACAGTTTGTATCACTCATTTATAAAATACACTCACAGTATTCTTCAGATAAGAAACATAAAAATAGTATCGCCCAAAAAACTAATGTACAAACACTAATACTAAATTAACAGATACAACAATTCAAAACAATATTTTTGTTTGTTATTACTTTAAATAACGAGAACAGACGCTATACTGCGCAATTTATTGCTTGGCATATTTCCCTGTATCTCGTTCGTAGGTGTCACATGCCTAATAATCTCAGACTACTGTGGTGAGATGTACAGTGTAACAAAGGACAATGTGATTTATGTATTTCATTTGGAAGGAATCATATTCTGTGCTTCATTATTTAATAATTTTTAATAAAGTGAGTTGCTTATCCTTTATATGATATTGCAGAACAAACCCCAGCATTGTTCGGTTTCACTAATCAGTTTTTACTTTAAGTAGTTTGCCATTGCTCTCTAGAGGGTCGGTTATCGATACAAAGCGGTCTGCTATCAAATTATTTGCAGCTGAAATTGTACCTCTGAAATACGAAGCGTGTCCACAATGCCTAAGCCATACAACCTGACAAATACTCAGTTTAGACACAGAACATAACTATAACCAGAATAACAAATAATACCTAGAGTAAGAGAAATTAGCAAAAATGAATTGTATCAATCAGTTTGTAAATACTATGAAAGGATAAAGGACGCTTTAAACAGTTAAGCCATATTAGTCATATGATGTTATCGTCACATATTTTTTAGGAGTGGCTGGCCGATCGGTTAAAACGCTGTGCTTCCATATGTCCCTAAATCCTCAAACCCCCCCCCCCCCCCCACCCCATTTTTTCCCCCAATTCTCATTTTATTAAGGGTCAACGGTTTATAAAAAGACCATTCTCGTAACTTGTCCATGTTCTTGTTTGTTTTGCAACATTAGAACAAAACATGACTAACAATAAATGTGAAATTTTGACACTGGACTGATGTGTATTTATGACTAAAAAATAGATAATCAAAAAATATTTTCGTAAAAGTTTTATAAAATAAGCTTTTATTTAAATGCATCACATGCACTAAGAAGACAAACAAATTTATCATATAAGTTAATAGACACACAAGATTAAATAATCTCTTTGCAGCCTTCATCTGCAATTGTGTACCACTACTAAATTGGGACCCAGGAAACCACACATGGAGTTTATGAAATTCCATCAGGTCATAACACCAGGTCAGCCAATTTGTTTGGTGGCAAGATACTTGTCTACCAGACTGAAAATCTGGGTTCAAAAATGCATCAATTGTTTTTTTTTTTAGATGACCTTTGTTCCCAGTCAGCTCAGCATAACATGAGAACCAGGTCACGTCCTGGGAAACAGTGCGGGCTGCATACTCAACAATAGACAATACCTGTCTTGAATTATCCAAAGCAGCGGAAGTCAGTGTCGATTTCATTTGATTTAATTGCTGTGTATGCAAATACTATGTAATTATATGCACATTACTTTCAGGAATGCCCCACACTTTAATAGTAGTTAGTTAGTTAGTTAGTCTTTCCTCTTGTGTCGAGTGCGGCACATAGGGCAGAGGTCATGACTCTCCATGAATGGCGGTTAATTGCAATCTGTTGTAGGTCTTGGATGTTTGAGTGGCCCATGAGTGAGCCTTCCCTGATGATAGTTCTACGTAGGGTTTCCCTTGGTCTTCCACGAGATCTTTTCCCCTGTGGTGTCCAAATGAGGGCTTGGTAAGGAAGTCTTGATTTATCCATTCTAAGGGCGTGGCCGACATAGTTCCAGCGGCGTTTTTGTATAAAATTAGACACATACTCTTGCCTGGATTCTTGCCTTATTTGTGTATTAATAGTAGTCACTGTATCAAATTGTTGATGAAGAACAAAATTATTTAATTGTGTCTGTCCATTAACTTATATGATAAATAATTTTTGTATATTTAGTTAATTATGGATGGGTTTACAAAATAAAGCACAATTTTTAAGTGTTTAAAAGCTATTGTATGGGGTGGGGGAGGGAGGAAGGGGCTCAGCCACCTAAATTTAACTTGCAAAGGAGGTTAAGCAGCCCCCTATTAACCATTTATAAAAATTATCTGCAAAGTATTTGTTTATTCATGTCATATTATTTCAAATGTATTATTTACTATATTTATTTACCACTCAGTATAGTATTACTAATATTATTATTGTTATTGTACTCTTAAACTAGGATTGGCCCTTGAGACTCTCTCTCCTTTACTGCTTAGAAATTATGTATGGTGGGGGGAGGGGGGAAGTAACACTAAGATCCCCCCTCCCCTTTCTTCGAGTAGAGGGGGGGGGGAACAGAGAGACAAATAAGTTTGGTAACCTCTGTCATAGTTGAACTTTACATTCAGGAGCAGGTAACTCTTGTACACTTCCGACTTGATTAGGAATAATTTCTGACACTCACAAGTGGAAAACTAACTGGTGTACTGTCCAGGTGGAATGGTCAGAGTGGTCAGTTACAGAAGTTACCATATTTCACACTTGGCCTTGGGGTTCATCTTTGATTTGTTGCTACATCTGAACTCTTTGGCAAAGTCGTAGGAGTTGGACAGCGTCCCAATGACTCTGTGATAAAGAAACATATATATATATATATATATATATATATATATATATATATATATATATATATATATATATATATATATATATATATATATATATATATATATATATATATGTATTCACTGAATAATTTCTGCCATTCATCTATTTAGGCAGTAAAATGGGTAATGATGCGGAAACTGATAGAGATATAAAAATATGATTTAAAATAGCACAAGGAGTTTTAAAGGACTAAAAAATATTTGAAAGTCAGCCGAAATTAACATTAGTATCAATCTGTGGCGCAGCGGCGAGACTCTTGCCTGCAGATCGGAAGGTCGTGGGTTAGCTTCTTCCTGGTGGAGCCGCACTTTTTCAAAAATGACCTTGGCTCCCAGGTCGACCCAGCCTTGACTGGGTACCGGATGCAGCCTCGGAATGTAAAGGCGGCCGGCGTGATGCTGACCACATCATCTATCTTGTGCCAATTGGTCTATAAAATATAGGTCTAGCCCTATATGCCCTATACGGCTTAAGGCGTGGAAAAGGGTCCTTTACTTAATGTCAGACGAGTACTGCTGCATCTTTTTCTTCACATTCACCAGCTTTAAACTGTTCACATTCACCGGCTGTAAACTGTTCACATTTACCGGCTGTAAACTTTTCACATTTACCGGCTGTAAACTCTTCCCATTCACGGGCTGTAAACTCTTCACATTCACCAGCTGTAAACTCTTCACATTCACCAGCTGTAAACTCTTCACATTGACCAGCTGTAAACTGTTCACATTCACCAGCTGTAAACTCTTCACATTCACCGGCTGTAAACTCTTCACATTCACCGGCTGTAAACTCTTCACATTCACCAGCTGTAAACTCTTCACATTCCCCGGCTGTAAACTCTTCACATTTACCGGCTGTAAACTCTTCACATTCACCAGCTGTAAACTCTTCCCATTCACCAGCTGTAAACTCTTCACAATCACCAGCTGTAAACTCTTCACATTCACCAGCTGTAAACTCTTCACATTCACCAGCTGTAAACTCTTCACATTCACCAGCTGTAAACTCTTCACATTCACCAGCTGTAAACTCTTCACATTCACCAGCTGTAAACTCTTCACATTCACCAGCTGTAAACTCTTCACCTTCACCGGTTGTAAACTTTGGCAGAAAGTATGAGTTATTCACTATTTCTAGATTTTGGTCTTGTTCCAAAACTCTAGTTTTGCACGCACATCCATTTCGCAGATTCAGTTATTTATATGTAGATTGTTGGGTTGTGGCTTCTCAGGCAAACACACTCTGACTTCAGTGGAAACATTCCTAATTAATTAACTTTTATGACATGCTTGTTAGGGGACATTGGGTTTATTCTTTTTCATACCTTATGGGAAAGTAAAGGTTTAGGTTTAGATGACAGATCAACAACATGGCATAAGGTTAGTAACCTACAAGTGGTACAATGTCCTTGCACTGAAACCCACTGTGTAAAGCATCATCCACATGTGGGATGCAATTTTTAGTAATTTTGAAGCCACACCCTGGCTTTTGCCAGGGGCCTTAAATATGGCCTAATGGCTGAACGGGGTTTCCGGGACCTCTCCACGGGTGATCCTCATCCGCATGGTGGCACTCTGTGTCAGCGGTTATTTATCGCTTGTGTGATGTCCTGGCGGGGTAGAACTTACCTACCTACCTACTTAAACCTACTGGGTCATGCGAATGAAGGCAGACCAAAGGAAAAATATAGGGAGATGTGAACTAGGGAGTGAAGACATGAGACGAGCTGCATGTGTTAGCAATGACTAGGCTTGAGTTGGTTGAGGAGCTATGTCCTTTGATGATACAGGAAACAAGAAGAAGAACAACAACAAAACAAATAAGAATAAGAAGAAAAAGAAGAAGATAAGAAAGTGATTATGATGTATGAGAAAGAGGTTGAGGAAGCGGAAGGAGGAGCATCAGCATTTGGGAAATGAAGAAGAAAAAGGAGAAGAAGAAAAAGAAGAAAAGAAAGATGTTGAGGATTTAGGCAAAAGAGGTTGAGGAAGTGGAGGAGGAGTAGCAAGAGGAGGAAAGAGGGGAAAAAAATACAAAGAAGCAGCAGCAGAAGAAAAAAAGAAAAAGAGATGATAATGGTGATGGTGGTGATGATGATAACGATGAATATGAGGATGTTGAGGATTATGATGCTGATGTGGATGATGATGATGATTCAAATGTTAAGAATCAGTATGCAGTCTTTGTGCTGAAAAGATTAATGAATGAATCAAGAACTGACATCACTTCACTCAGGACATTTCTACACGTGCTCCGTCTCCTTCTGCAGTAGCCAAGGAAGAGTTGACATGCTAATGGTACCAGTTGCAATCTGATTAAATGTCTGCCTCTTTTTCCTCTTTTTCTTTTAATGTTGAATATCTTCCAGAACCTCTACTCACTCCCGTTGAAGTAGTCTTTCAGTGTATGGATTCCCTATCTATTCTTTTGCACTGTTCATTGGATCCCATAGAGCCTTCATTACATCCGCTCTATCATATAGTAGTTCATTGCACAGAGGAGCGACAGTAGCCAATCTATCAGCTTGCTCACTATCTCGCACACCTGAACATCCCGGACAGAAAATCCATGACATGCGCTTGATCTGGGTCTTATCAAGTGGTGCAAAGCCACTCTGATCGCAGGACACCAGCTTGAATTTTCCAAAGCACGCTCTGTGAGTCTGTTACAATCACTACATGTCAGGCTGTGCTGTTCCCAAGCCACTGGAAAGCTGCTGCTACTGACTCCACCTCCATTCTCACACTAGATGTAGTGACAATGTACCTTCGGTCCAGGGCAACCATCACTCTGTGCAAGTCTGTCCCGCATAGAGGCACCGTAACGGACTCCTCACTACGCACCATCCTGTCAGCTGCACAGACAACTCTGATCGTAACCCCCCTGCCTGCGCCATCCAAAAACCACCTCCTCTTAGCCGCTGTTTCCCCGCTATCCCCCAAGGCTCCATGAAGAAGGCGCTCCTTGTCTATCAGAAAAGATGAAGTAATGCCAAACATACATGAGTGCAGTTTACCTAAATTTGGCTGGAGAGTGCGAGTCTGTCAAAAACTGCATGTGGTCAGTTTCAGGCTTGCTGTTCCAACACCATACCTGCAAGAGGAATGGCACTGTGTTAATCAGATCATAGATAACTGTAGCAACTAGATGTGATTGATTTTACTAGCTGCATCTACAGATTACTGTATGAACTGTATATTCCCAAACTTATTTAGCCTACCACTGCCTTTTTACTAGGAAAAAATTATGCAGATAATTGTGTAAACTATGCTGCAGCTATAGATGATTGTGTAAACTATGCTGCAGCTATAGATGATTGGGTAAACTATGCTGCAGCTATATATGATTGGGTAAACTATGCTGCAGCTATAGATGATTGTGTAAACTATACTGCAACTATGGATAATTGTGTAAACTATGCTGCTGCCATAGATGATTGTGTAAACTATACTGCTGCTATAGATAATTGTGTGAACTATACTGCTGATATAGATGATTGTGTAAACTATACTGCATGTACTGATATTGTGTAAACTTGACGGTAGCTATAGGTTATTGTAACGATGATTGTGTGTTTCTTCTTCTTCAGCATTCTGTGATTCAGCATTCTGTGATTCAGCATTCTGAGCCCTTGAGGTTCACTGCTGCAGATATCCCCTGCCTCTATTCATCCGTGTGATTGGTCTTCTTTGCCGAGTTGTCTGCAGGTCTGCCTCTACTTTAATTCCCCACTGTCTTCTTTAGGCGCCATCGCGGTGAAGCGCCTACACGTTCTCCTGTGGATCTGAAGGTCATGAGTTCAAATCCAAATGGAGGCAGACAATTTTTCAAAACTGACCTTGACTCTCAGGTCAACCCAGCCTTAAAAAGCTACTGGGAAAGTCCTGGGAAGTAAAGGTGACTGACCTGATGTTGAACACATCACTCGCAAAATGTGGATTGGTATGTAAACTAATGGTCTAGCACTATAGTCCATTACGCTTGAATACGTTTTTTTTTGTTGTACCTCATAGTCTACTCCCGCTTAGTCAGTCAGTCAGCCAGCCAGTCAATCAGTAGCATGTCCTTTGCAGAACCTTGCTGCCATTCAACTCTTTGTATTTAACAGAAACTGAGGCTTAGCTATTTGTCTCATGACCAGATTAGGTTTTATGGAGATTGGAGTGCCGGTGCCAGGCTTCAGCTCACAGCCTGTAGGACTAGGATGTAAACTATACTGCTGCTACATATGATTATGTAAACTATACTGTTACTACAGATGACTGTGTAAACTATACCGCAGCTATATACGATTATGGGAACTATACTGTTACTATAGATGACTGTGTAAACTATACTGCAGCTACATAAGATTATGTGAACTATACTGTTACTATAGATGACTGTGCAAACTATACCACAGCAACATATGATTATGTGAACTATACTGTTACTATAGATGACTGTGTGAACTATACTGCAGCTATATACGACTATGTGAACAATACTGTTACTATAGATGACTGTGTAAACTATACTGCAGCTACAGATAACTGTGTAAATAGGATGTCGTCTTAGATAATTTAGTAGACTACTTTGCAGCTATAAAGTTCATGACTGTGTACATAATATGAAGTCAAGGGTTTAAAAAAGCTCCGCTGGCGCTGCATCTAGACGCTTTTCAGCTGGCTGGGAGTTCTTGGGTTTGACTACGCAGTGGGAGGATTTTTTTTTATTAACCTTGACTCCCAAGTCAGACCAGCATAACATGGTTACCAGAAAATGTCTAGGGAAGGAGAGTTGGTTGACGCATTGTAGACATCATTAACCATTGAGTCTATAAATATCTGAGTTGCAAGTGCTGGAGGCACTAGGGGGAGGGGGGAGGGGTTTAGTCAATTTTGTAAGGAGACTGAGGGGCTCCCTTGAACCATGTATAGAGATTATACAATAATAAAAAAAATATAAAATTAGGGGAAGGGGGGGGGGGGGTTGGTATTTTAACCACCAAGTGTTTTTTGCAACAGTAGAACCTAGGATATGAAAATTTGGCATTGATAAAAATACAAGAGAGAGAGCTACAGCAGATGGATATTCTGGGAGAAGACAGACTGGTGCTCTTTGAGGGCAATTTGATCCAACTAATTGGGGACAAGAGGCACAAATATTAAATGCATTGACTTGCTGCGGACCTGCTTCATTTTACAGATGCAGAACTGCAACAGAGAGGGTGGTCACACTCATATTGTACAATTTTATTCCTGGGTCCTTATTGAGCTGGGCTGCAATCGTGATAGCCCAGGGCACCCAAAGACACCCAAAGTTTAAGTCAGGTCACCAAGCGGAAAGTGAAACCGCCTAGCCTATACTTTTTTTTTCTAAGGTTTGATTCTCCCTGTTTATTCATTTGGTTTGTGATTGATCCAACCTAAACTGACTTGCTTGGGATGTTCCGTTTTCAACTCAAAATATTACTGTGATGTCCTGTTTTCAGCTCAAAATGTTACTGTGATGTCCCGTTTTTAACTAAAAATATTACTGTGATGTCCTGTTTTCAGCTCAAGATATTACTGTGATGTCCCATTTTCAGCTCAAAATATTACTGTGATGTCCCGTTTTCAGCTCAAGATATTACTGTGATGTCTCGTTTTTAGCTCAAGTTTCCCCATGTGGGTTCTGGGGCCCTATTATAGGGAAAACAAGAATAGACCCACTGGCTACCCAAGAGCATGTCGACTAATTGGGAGCTTCCTTCAACATCGGAGTCCATCTGCCTGAGAGGCAAGGAACCAACAGTCTGCACACAAATGGGTCAGATCTGTCAAACTGATGCACACACAACACTCAGGTTCTGAAACAGGACTGCAGTCCAGAAGGGGACAAACAATAAGAACTTTCCGCCAGAGTTTACAGCCGGTGAACGCAAAGAAGAAGAAGAAGACAGCTCAAGATATTATGGTCACCCTATGCAAGCCTGAATAGATGACTTTTACTACTAGAGCAGAAAGAAGCTAACATAAAGGGAGCATACATACCTGAGCAAAGGAGAGGAAAAACAGCTGCTCGTGGCTCAAGCCCAAGGCTGGCAGTAGCTGCTCACTTCCCTTCTTCTGCACCAGTTTCTTGTAAGCCTTAAGGTCAAAGCACCATGTCAGGGACAACAGATAGAATGGTTAACCTTTTGAAAATCAATGCTGTGACATATTAAGCTCAAAAACAAGAGCAGCGAAACAGTAATGACGATTACCACAGCTGCAGTTTTTTGCTTTATCATAATCCTCACCATCATCATTTTATTCTCATCATCACCATCATCTTAAAGATTAATGCTGTCTTTGAGGTTAAGATGAATAATGACGATAACATCTACTGCAGCTGCAGTTTTTTGCTTCTTCGCTATTATCAGCATCAGCATCATCATCATGAATATTGATGCCGCCTTGAAGGTCAGGATAGGAGACATTATAACCAACTTCTCACAATATGATTAACCCGTTCTTATTGCAGGAAGACAACTATAAGATCATTACGGTCACTCACGAAATATTTTCACATTTTGGGTCTATCCAAACCTTAAAAACTGTTTTCAATACTTTTCGGCAAAATATAATACTCAAAATTTTAAAACTATAAATGATGGCGGACTGCCATAGAGGACAAAAGCATTAAGCCTAGAGACGGCCCAAATACCAGAACTTTAGCCACGAAAGTGGCGCAAATAAACAAGACCACAAATATAACTGGAGACTGCTGGCAGCTTCAGCTAGCTAGCAGCAGGTAGAATGTGGCCGAGTTTTTTATTTTTTTCTTAACAGCTGTTGGAATTAGGAACAATCAATAGAGGTACTTTGCAGTGGCTGCTAAATTAGAGGACTAAAATGCCCAATATCCAGTGATGTCAGTTGTGATAACATAACTATGATCAACTATTGACATCAAAATAATCAGCAGCATAAACAATATTATCAACAACAATTTCATCAAAACAACTTCTTCAATATCAGTTGTATCATCATCAACACAATCATCATCATCATCATCACCAGGATCTTATCCTTTTCTGGCCTGATTTACTGGAAGAAGAAGAAGAAGAGGAACAGGAGGAGGAGGAGGGGGAAGAGAAGAAGAAGAACAACAAAACAACAACAACAGGAATAAGCAAAACAAGAAATAAGAGCAACAAGAGCATGGGGGGGGGGAGGACCCAGAACAAGGATTTGAACAAACAGAATTGATTTTTGCAAAACACTGAAATACAATTTAACAGCCCAAGCTTAGACCAGGTGATAGATTCGTATTGAAAGAACAAAGAGGGAGAGAAAGAGATAGCGGGAGACTCAGGTCAGGTGACTCACATTGTACGATGATTTCAGGCCTCCATTGTCTGCAATGTTCTCCCCCAAGGTCTGCTTTCCTCGTTCCTGTCATGATTGCGTGTTGAAAAAATAATTAATCCCCGCGTTAAAACATGTAAGTTGCATTGTGAGTATCAGCAATAATGATGATAATGACAACAATGTTGATGTTGTCCAGGGACAAACAAAGAGAACTCACATACTCTTCATGGAGTTGGTACTTGTACTGGTCGATCATACACTTGAAGATGATGAAGATGAGGATGATGTATGATGATGAAGATAATGATGAAGATGATGATTATGCTCATGATGATGATGATGATTATGATGACAACACCAACAATGATGATGATGATAACACCAACAATGATGATGATGACAGCAATGTTGATCATGTCCAGGGACAAACAAAGAGAACTCACATACTCCTCGTGAAGCTGGTACTTGCTGTACTGGTCGATCATACACTTGGTTTTCTCTTTGAACTTGTTAATGGCGGCTGTGGCCCACCACTGTTTCATGTTGCCATGCTTGTCGTACTCTCTGCCTGCTCGGGTAGTCACATAGATGTCATGAGTACAGTCTCCTCTTCTTCTTCCTCCACCTCCTCCTTTTACTCCACCTCCTCCTTTTCAATATTACTTTGCCTCCTTTTTCTTCTCCTACTCCTTCCTTTCTCACTTCCCTCCCTTCCTCCACGTCATCCTCACCTATTCATCCTCCTCATCACTCCCCCCCCCTCCCGCCACTCCTTCTCCTCTTCTTTGTATAAGTACTACTATTAAATGAAGTATCACTAGAATAATGTATGTAAAGAGTGAGACTAGAAGGACAGAATGTAAAATGGGCCTATACGACTAATTCTTGAAGTTCATTCTTCTTCTTCTTCTCCTTTTTCTTCTTTGTGGTCTTCTTCTTCTTTTTCTTCCTATTCTCCTTCTTCTTCTTCTTCGTTATCATCTTCTTCTTTGTTATCTTCTTCTTCTTTATCATCATCTTCTTTGTCATCATCATCATCAGTCTACTTCTACTAATGCTCTTTCTCTCTTTATTTTTTACTCTTTCTTTCTTTTTCTGTTTCTTTATTTCCTACTTTCTTTCATTCTATATTCTTTTATTTTTTACTTATTTCATTTGATTTTTATTGTTCTCTCTATTCTTCTTCTTTTCTTCCATTCTTTTCTTTCTTTTTTTCTTGCTTGCCTCCTACATCTTTCCATTCCAGTGAAACTCAACCAGCTTTAAATCCCAGAAACTCAGAAACAAATCCAGCAACTCACCTTGGTCATCAAATCCGTGAGTCAGCTCATGTCCCATAACTACACCCATAGCGCCGTAGTTGAGAGACCTGCAGCACAATACAACAATCAATGGATACAACAATATCTTGTCAGCATAATACAACAATCAGTGGATACAACAGTTAGTGGATACAACAACTATCCTGTAAGCACAATACAACAGTTAGTGAATACAACAACAATCCCAATATAACAGTTAGTGGATACACGAAAGATTCCAATACAACAGTTATTGGATACAACGACAATCCCGTCACTACAATGCAACAATCAGTGGATACGATGATAATCCCAATACAACAGTTAGTGGATACAATAACAATCCCAATACAACAGTTAGTGGATACAATGACAATTCCAATACAGCAGTTAGTGGATACAATGACAATCCCAATACAACAGTTAGTGGATACAATGACAATCCCAATACAACAGTTAGTGGTTACAATGACAATCCCAATACAACAGTTAGTGGTTACAATGACAATCCCAATACAACAGTTAGTGGTTACAATGACAATCCCAATACAACAGTTAGTGGTTACAATGACAATCCCAATACAACAGTTAGTGGTTACAATGACAATCCCATTACAACAGTTAGTGGATACAGCAACAATCCCAATACAACAGTTAGAGGATACAGCAATAATCCCAATACAACAGTTAGAGGATACAGCAACAATCCCAATACAACAGTTAGAGGATACAGCAACAATCCCAATACAACAGTTAGAGGATACAGCAACAATCCCAATACAACAATTAGTGGAAACCATGACAATTCCAAAAGAACAGTTACAGCGACAATCCTAGCACATTATAACTACTAACCTGGCAATCTAGTCTGTCAAATCAATGGGTCAAAGTTCAGTTTCCTATAGCAACAAAGGTTTGAGTGTGTTTAGTTAGCAGATGTTGAATGATTAGAAGTAAACAGGATTTTCGCCTCTAACTTCCCAACGACAACTGTTGTATTGGAATCCTGAAAGTATCTCTTTTGTGTAGCTGTCAGTCAAATCTTCTTGTGGAAAAGGGAATATTATATAGAAACAAATCCTCCCCCCGACCCCACCTCACACACTACATTACTACGAGACCTAACAGTTTTACTATAAGTTTAATTACAGGTAGCCAAAGAAGAATAGTGAACCAGGGCCGTTGGTAGCCACGAGTGAAGAAACACAGAATTGGTGTTATCAGTCGCCACACGCTGAAGGATATGCTGAAGATGGGATCCGAGCGCTTATGGTCTTGTCTGACGTGTAGTGAGGAAAATGTGTCCATTAACTAACAATCTAAGTAACTCTATCTAAATAACTAGTTATCTAACTGCTTACAGTGGGAAATTCTTGTCAAAGAAGGGGGCCTGTAGAATTCCTGCGGGAAAGACAATAGTGTTTTTGCTTGCCGTGTAGTAGGCGTTGACTGTAGGAGGGGACATAACCCAGCTGTGAACAGACAAATAGAGGCAAATTATTTAAAAGCTGTGGAAGTCATTCCTAGATCTACCCAGCCTAACATAGGTAATGTCTCAAGAAGTAAAGGCGGCCGATGTGATGCTAACCACATCGTTGAGCCGTAGTCGGCTGGTCTATAAAAATTTAGGTCAAGCATCGTGTGCCCAATGCGCCTTCAATGTAAAAAAAAAAGAGGATGGAGAGATTTTATTAACTTTTTCAACTTTACATGGGAGCCGTTGCTGGAACAACGGAGATCGTGCTTTATGCAATACAAAGTGCAATCAGGCCATGTGGAATTTAAAATGACGTGGTGAAGTCAATTATCTTGTCTTTAAACGTGTTTCGATTTAACATCGTATTCTGTTACATGGGAGTCGCCGTAGTGTAGTGGCTAGACGCTTGCCTGCGGATCAGAAGGATGTGGGTTGATGAAACTGGACTTTTTTTTCCAAAAATGACTTTGGCTCCCAGGTGGACTCAGCTCTGAATGGGTACCAGGTGCAGTCCTGGGAAGTAAAGGTGGCAGCGTGATGCTGACCACATTCTCCATCAAGTGCCGATTGATCTATAAAATATTTATTATTTTACATGAGCCTATTATCCCCTAATGGTGCAAAGTCGTTTTATCCATGCTTCATGTTTTCATTGAAGACCTTTATCATCAGGGAACTGCAAACTCACAACATCAAGCTGGTGTATTGGTACTCCAGTTTTAACTTCACTGGAGGTTGAATAAGGTATCTGGGATTTGCCTGGTTGGTCTGCCGTGCAGGCTGAGATTGTGTTATCTCGAAGTGGTCAGACCTTCTGGTAGCAGCCCAGAGAGAAGATAAACGAAACGGGGCATCCTTTCCTTTGCAATAACATACAACTGACCCTATGACCTCTCCGTTTATTTACCTTTATTCCTGAATTTCCCCCAAAACCTATATTTCTTTGGTTCCGTGGGTTCCAGTAAAATGACAATCAATGTAAAGACTGCAGTATTGTTGTTGGCAAAATGTCGCTGTGGTGTTTCGTTTATACAAGCGCCTGCAGATCCAAAGATTATAGCTTCAAATTCGAACGCAGCCGAACTTTTTCAAAAACAGCTATAGTTTTTATGTCTACCCAGTGTTAAAGGGGTACCAGGAAAAATCCAGGAAAGTAAAGGTGACCGACATGATGTTGACCACATTACCCACCGAGTACCGAATGGTCTGTCAAGTAGAGGGTCTAGCACTAGATGCAAATACGCCTGAAGGCGTTGAAAGGAACCCTTACAACGGCCGGTTATGTCTCTAATGAAACATGGACCTTCAGCAGCCACATCCCGCAAAGTCATTCTACCCTTTGCTATTGAATGCGGCTTACACATCCTGTCTGTCTTATCCATCAATTATTGTGCTGTCTTTCTAAGTGTATTTATCGTCTCCCTTTATTTCGTTGGCTCCGTGGCTTCAAGCGCAAGGACATTCTAAAAATGTTACTGGCAAATCGATTAACATGGCGATCATGAGAATTATAACGATGATGATGATAATGATGATAAAGATGAAAATAATGATGATAATAATGAAAATAGCGATGATGATAAAAATGAGGAAAGTATCGTAACAATGATGATGATGATGATAATGTCATAATGAGGATGACTGTGATGAGGATATCAACAACAGCGACAACAATGATGATATTGACATTTTAAAAAGCAAAATGTCTTACTCGTTCTGTGGTTTCTTCCTCAACTTTTCAAAGGTCTTCCGGAAGCTGTAATGAATGGAGGCCAGGTTGTTGCCAAAGTAATCCGATTCGTTGATGTGCAACTGTATGGACCAGAATGCAGGGGACAAGAACCATAGTGAAAAATGGAAACCTGTTTGTGTGTTGTTGTTTTTCAGCTCTAGAGTAAAATTAGTTTCGTAGAAGACATTACAACTATATTACTGCTAATATTATCATCAAGTTCCGTGCCGACTGCCGTGGGCGATCATGCCTCTCCACAATCTGTGATTTGCTACTGCGTGTATCAGTTCTTGTGTTGACACTCTCCATGCTAGAACACAAGGCTGCCTTCTCGTTTTGTCTCCCTCTGTCATTCTTTCCGCATATCTATCCAGTTTCCTCCTTCTCACAACAGGACCACAAAATGATGACTGTCTCTTTCTGATATTTGTGACAGGTTGTGTTCGAGCCTTCGCCTCTTTCAAAACATCTGAGTTTTATACTGTGATACTAGTATGTATGGAATGTGTTTACTACTCGTTAACTGTCTCTGGAAGGTTCTGTTATGCTCAAACATGTTTGCTATCTATTTTCTCACTGTGAATTGTCATAATTGTGTCTCGATTGCATCAGATAGTTCTACATATCACTGCACTAATTAGGTTGACAGTCGGTCTTCTAGGATCTTCTAGAAAGCAAGTACTACTAGGTTCAATCTAGTCTAATTATGCACAATATTCTATCTCCTAGCAAACCAGTGATGATTCTGTGTAGCACTGTTACACTACTACTGCTGCTGCTGCTGCTCCTCCTTTTCTTTCTCCTCGTCCTGCTCCTCCTTGCCCATCCTTCATCTCCTTCTCCTTCCTTTTCTTCTTTTTTTTTCTCTTTTTATTCCTTGTTCTTCTCCTGCACATCGATTACCTGGGCTCTTATGTCAACCCCCCCCCCCTCTGCCCCCAAATGATTACCAGGAAGTGTCCTGTGAAATAAAGGCAACCGACCTCAAGTTTGCTACACCACATATTGAACTGATCCGTACATAAAAATGTGGATCTAGCTCCATCTGTCTGGAGCGCCAGCATGATTCTTCACTCCGAGAAGAGAAACACTGAAAAAAACAAAAACACATCTCTTACACTCTGGTATTTCTTGTCTAACTTTTTGGGGTCCATGATGTAATCTGGGTAGCCAATCATATCGTTGACTGCCAGGGCCTGTGGAGAGAAAGAACCACTCAGATTACAGAGTTCACTGCTACACATTTGTAGCTGTGGGGTGTCGGGGAAGCCACTACATTAAGAGTAACAGCATGGAAGTAACAAGGCTAGATATCTGATTGTAGTGGGGAGTTGTTTTAAAATATTTTACATTGATTAAGACAAAAGATGGGATGAGGAACAAAAAATATGAAAGGGGAGGGATAAAAAAAAAAAACATGAACATTATCAACTGCAAATTATGTACTGATTTCAATGCTACACCCACACACACATGTATAAACACAGTCACTTAAAAGTTCGCATAAAAACTAAATTTCTCTTATATCTCGTCATCCCTTTGTGGGATGCAATTTTTCGTTATTTGAAGCCCTACTCTGGCTCTTTCCAGGGGCCGCAATATAGCCCGGTCAAAAATATGGTCTAATGGCTGAACGCGGTTTCTGGGGCCTCTCCACGGGTGATTCTCATCCACATGGTGGCACTTTGTGTCATTGGGTGTTTATCGCTTGTGTGATGTCCTGGTTGGGTAAAAGAAGATAGATAGATTTTTCATATTTCTGCATGTATCCACACATAACTCACCGACACAAAACATCCACACACAAAAATTTGCAGACAGAGAGGCAGGCAGGACAAGCAGACAGATAGACAGGGTCAGAGATAGGTAGACATAGATTGATTGATAGAGAGAACATTATATTTTGAGAAATAGATGCAAATAGATGCACAAGAAAAATTTGCCACATATGAGATCACCTTAATCAGTCTGCACTGTACTGCACTCTAGATAGGCAGGGGTTGACTGTCCATCGAGGTGATCAGTATGACTAGTAAGACCCTCTTGCAATTTAAAAAGTTGTCAAAGATAAGAGAATGGGATTTCAGGACCATGGCATATTCTTTTATGTGCTTCTCAAGTGCTCAGCATGTAACCTATCTCCAATCATTTTCTCCAAATCCCTTTCTCTTTTCAGATTTTCTCCCTCCATATATAATAGTACGTGGTATCCTCTTCCCACCAAGCAACCTCAATACCTGTATCATTCATTTCCTGCTTGCATACATCTTTATATCATAATAGGGGCTAACCTCACTATATTCCGTCCATTTTTAACTGAAGATAAAGGATGTCAACATTCAAAGGCACACTAATTTGTCAGTGACACAAACCTTGTCTATTGCCGCAGCTCTGGTGACCGGATCCATCCAGTCCAGCTTTGGCAAGTTTGAGATAAAGGCATCCCTGATGTTTTCTATCATCTCCTTGGCCTGTCAGAAAGAAACTCAGAAATGTACATGAACAGTCTATAAACAATCAATATACTGAGCACATCCTCAGGAGAAATGAAATCAGCCAATGAAAAGGGAAACAACTGGACTGGGGAGATAAGAACGTCTAAATGAAATACTAAAATGAACATTCTTCTTCTTCTTCTTTCGTTCGCCTGAAATAAGTTGTCTATATCAGCAGTTTTGTCTCTTGTATCTTTCTTAGTTTGGCCAGATGCTCTATTCTCACGTCCCCTGGCTCCACAGGACATTTGAGAAGGACCTCCAGTAATTTGGGTTGGGCCTCTTTGAGGCAGAGGGCCCGGCACTGCTCCTGCCTGAGAGTCCATCACAGGGCGAGCACCATAACATTTTGCTGATATAGACATATTTCCATGGCGTGTGTGCCTGGCATCCTGATTGCTGTGGTGCGCCTCTTGGCTGATTGCCTCCGACTTCAGCACCTTGTTTTGCTAGGGTAGACTGTGATCATACTCGAGGAGAGTGGGCTCATCCATTCGTCTTTCGTCTTCACCTCATTTGTTGTCCCATCTAGTTTCCCACTGGGGGTTGAGACCCCAACCTTCAACTGGATTGCTGGGAAGAACAGGGTCCATCACGTGAAGGTGAGGTAGGCTTGAGCAAGAGAGGCTAACAGACATTAAGAGTCTTGTATTGCGCATCATTGTTCCATTAGGACACCAAATGAACATTGAAAAGAAAGGCCAAAGGGAATGAAGAGACTGTGAGCTCTAACTGACATATAACATCACAACAGGATGGCGATCATGATGATGGCAACAAATATCATCATCTCTTTGGTCTGTTGGAAATTGCTGTAGTTGGTTGTTTCCACAATAGAGGTTAGCTACAGTGACTGTATCAGCATTTGAATGTTAGAGGGTCTTCTCCTTCTTACAGGCAGTTTCAGAAGTCATGTTTGTTGGCAACCTTTTGTCTGGTGGATAGAACAAACAAACTTTTTCCAAAGTCATGTTGTACAAGTTTTCTCATGACATGACATAACCAAAGATTGTAGATTGTCACATTCTGATGTTGGCAATCAATTATCTTCATGATCTACTTCAGCTTTCTATCATGTGACTCGAACTCTCTCCCTCTGTCGAGTAGAATTTTTCCCACTGGGAGTGTCACTTAAAGCATAACTCCTTACTTCCAGCTGCGACCCATAGGCACCTCTGAAGCACCCGTGGGAACCCAAAAATAGAGTCATAAACTATGAAACTCCTTATGTCCATGAAAAGCAACAGAAATACGCCATATAACTATACAAACCCATAACCTTCAGAGCGTCAGGCAAATATAGGTCCCTTGAGTCCCCTTCCCCTAACCATGACAAAATATTAATAGAAGTTCTCTTTTTAAGTTGTTTATACATTTCACAGCATTTCAAATATATTATTGTTATTATTAGGCACTCAAAGAGACAAGCCAGTACTCCTAGTCAGAGGCGTAGCAAGGTCAGGTAGTAGCTAGTACAGGAGATCTCCTGTTATTCTTCGCACACCCTCAAACTCACACACACACACACACATTGATGCTATAAATCAAAACCCTTTAATGTTTATTATAAATGAAGTGTTAACTTCTCCCAAACCGTGACCAATACATGGGTTAAATTTTCTTTTGCTTTTATGAATACAATGTTTAATTTAACAGTCACATTGGCGGCCCAAGTTATTTTGCATTTCTTTATTTATTGTGACAGTCAGTTAAAGTAAACTTTCGATGGATTCATTTCATTTGCCTTTGAATATTTTTCCCTACTACTTCTCTTAAACAGGTAATTTTTTAAAATTACATCTGCTGTTTTTTTCCTTAAAACCACATATCTAGGTGTATCTGAGACAATACATTTGTCTATCTTCCAAATTGTTAAATAGTGGTGTGAAGGTCTTGCCATATACTCAAGGGGGTATGAAGGTCTTGCCAAATACCCAAGGGGGTATGAAGGTCTTGCCATATACTCAAGGCGGCATGATGGTCTTACTATATGCCCAAGGGGGTGTGGAGGTCTTGCCATATACTCAAGGCGGCATGATGGTCTTACTATATGCCCAAGGGGGTATGAAGGTCTTGCCATATACTCAAGGCGGCATGATGGTCTTACTTTATGCCCAAGGGGGTATGAAGGTCTTGCCATATACTCAAGGCGGCATGATGGTCTTACTATATGCCCAAGGGGGTATGAAGGTCTTGCCATATACTCAAGGCGGCATGATGGTCTTACTATATGCCCAAGGGGGTATGAAGGTCTTGCCATATACTCAAGGCGGCATGATGGTCTTACTATATGCCCAAGGGGGTGTGAAGGTCTTACCATATACCCAAGGGGGTATGAAGGTCTTGCCATATACTCAAGGCGGCATGATGGTCTTACTATATGCCCAAGGGGGTGTGGAGGTCTTGCCATATACCCAAGAAGGACATGGATGCCTTGCCATATACCCAAGAAGGACATGGATGCCTTGCCATATACCCAAGAAGGACATGGATGCCTTGCTATATACCCAAGGAGCACATGGATGCCTTGCCATATACCCAAGAAGGACATGGATGCCTTGCCATATACCCAAGAAGGACATGGATGCCTTGCCATATACCCAAGAAGGACATGGATGCCTTGCCATATACCCAAGAAGGACATGGATGCCTTGCCATATACCCAAGAAGGACATGGATGCCTTGCCATATACCCAAGGAGCACATGGATACCTTGCCATATACTCAAGGGGACTCAAGGGGGTGTGGAGGTCTTGCCATATACTCAAGGGGGTGTGGAGGTCTTGCCATATACTCAAGGGGGTGTGGAGGTCTTGCCATATACTCAAGGGGGTGTGGAGGTCTTGCCATATACTCAAGGGGGTGGGGAGGTCTTGCCATATACTCAAGGGGGTGTGGAGGTCTTGCCATATACTCAAGGGGGTGTGGAGGTCTTGCCATATACTCAAGGGGGTGTGGAGGTCTTGCCATATACCCAAGGGGGTATGAAGGTCTTGCCATATACTCAAGGGGGTGTGGAGGTCATGCCATATACTCGAGGGGGTGTGGAGGTCTTGCCATATACTCAAGGGGACTCAAGGGGGTGTGGAGGTCTTGCCATATACTCAACAGGAACGAGAAGGTCCTGCTGTATTCTCAAGGGTGCATTCCAGAAAATGGTTAAAGACCACTGCTCTAAAAATCGTGTAAGGAGCAGGCAGAGCAACACCCTCTCTCTCTTTCTGTATGCGTGCGTGCGTGCATGTGAGTTGAGGACCTCCCCTCCTCCCCCCTCCCCCCCCCCCCCCCCACTTCGTTCCCCAAGTGTTTTCTTTGTGTCAGAACCCCACACTAAGACCACATAGCAATAGTATCAAAACAAACGAGAACAAACAATCACTACCAACAACTAAGAATGAAAAACTTGGAGATTCCATACCGATACCTTTGCTTTGCTTCCCCCAACAAAGGTCTCTTTGACAAACAGAGCACCCAGAGCAAAGCCGAGCACTGAATCTGTGTCAGTGATACATATATGCCAGGTGTCATCATTTCCTGTTAGTCCTGGGAAGACACGACAAAGGCAGGACTCAGACATAAGATAAGCTTGCAAATGCGTACAAATGGAACAGCCACAAGTTGCTACTGAATGTTTAATATTAGGTATTCTTCAAGAGGAGCCCATGGGGGAGGATACAGTTCAGACCAGGGACCCAAGAAATGGTTTTTCTTTTATCTAGATAAGAGTTTTAATAGAAACAATTTACTGGGATAAACAAATTGTTCTTTACAACAGAAATTTGCTTTATTCGAGATCGCCTTAAGCGGTCTGCACTATATTAGCCTTACTGAGGACGAGAAAATGCAATCTGAAAATTTAGCTCTATAACAGGGAAGACCATTTCAGGATCCTCACCGGTGCTACAGTGTTTGTGCACTGTATGAGATTTTTCGGACCTAGGCTTGAGTTAGAAGTAGAACGGAGCACTTATAGGGTTACTACCTATGTGCCATGATGTTGTATAAACCAAACCAAACCAAGGGCAGACCAGACCCTCAGCTTTTGGTGGCTGACGATTTAGAAGGCAAGCTCTGATGCGTGAATAGAGACTATTCTTTTGATCTGGTAGCTTCTGCAGAATGCTTTCTTCCAAACGTATTGGTGTTACCTCCACTGTAAAGTTTACAAAGTAGGCTGAGATAGGGAGCATGCTGCATGATATAGGGAGCATGCTGCATGATGTAGGGAGCATGCTGCATGAGAGAGGGAGCAAGCTGCATGAGAGAGGGAGCAAGCTGCATGAGAGAGGGAGCATGCTGCATGAGAGAGGAAGCATGCTGCATGAGAGAGGAAGCATGCTGCATGAGAGAGGAAGCATGCTGCATGAGAGAGGAAGCATGCTGCATGAGAGAGAGGAAGCATGCTGCATGAGAGAGGAAGCATGCTGCATGAGAGAGGGAGCAAGCTGCATGAGAGAGGAAGCATGCTGCATGAGAGAGGGAGCAAGCTGCATGAGAGAGGGAGCATGCTGAATGAGAGAGGGAGCAAGCTGCATGAGAGAGGGAGCATGCTGCATGAGAGAGGGAGCATGCTGAATGAGAGAGGGAGCAAGCTGCATGAGAGAGGGAGCAAGCTGCATGAGAGAGGGAGCAAGCTGCATGAGAGAGGAAGCATGCTGCATGAGAGAGAGAGCATGCTGCATAGCCAATGTAGGCTCTTCACAATACCATCCAGGCTTTGTGCTATGGGGAGGAGAAACGACTTTCCGTGTCCTAACTGGAATCACCATAGGCTGTGGTGCCCATGCTTCCCTACAGCACAGTGGAACACTATCATCTGAAAAGATGGAAAGGTGCCAAGTTCTTCTTCTTCCTCTTTTTTCCTCTATTTAGTTAGTTAATTAACAGATTATCCTCATTGCACATCGAGTCCACGAGCTCTCTGACCCAATCTTTAGTTTATCCCCAGTTCTGTGTTGATTTACTATTCTTCTTTGGCTACCAATATAATGTTCTTGTTTTGCGACACCTCTTTTGACCTGAGGTTCTTGTAGTCTTTTGAGTGTTGCCGATTCAATGACATCTCCTAAATCACCTTTTCGTCCTGCTTTCTTGAAGCTAAGTTTTGGAGGGAAGAGGAGAGATGCAGTGATCTTTCTTGAGCTATTTTTAATACGTTGTAATTAATCTGTATTTCTTACGGCTTTTAAATGCTTTCTTTGCACGGCTTACAATTGCTCTGTGTTAATAATATTTCTTCAGTGTGGCTCTAGATGGCAGTTGGTACCAGAGCATTTTTATCAGATGGCCAAAACCATCTCATTGATTGCTCTTTAATGAACTGTTCGACTGATTACAGTCCTCATTCTCATTTGATTTCTACATTTTAATCAGTAGTTGATATCACTATAGATTTCACTGCTAGCCAGACTGAAGTATATATGGATGGAGCAGAATATCAGATTCTGAAACTACAAACTGGAAATGCAGACTTCTACCTGATCAATTATTACTGCCCAAGTGATCGTCCCAAAGACACAATCCCAGTGGAAGAAAAGATGATTCTATGTGGAGACTTTAACAGCCACTCACAAAGCTGGGGATACGACCATATAGACCAGAGAGGTGAGAAACTGGAGGAGTGGCAGGATGAGAACAGACTTGTTCTGATTAATAGGCCAACTGATCCACCCACATTCTACTCGAGGTCGTGGCACACCACTACTACCCCAGACCTAGCATTTCACTCTCCAGATCTGGAATGGAACATTAAACGAGTTGTTGGAAATCAACTGGGAGGCAGTGACCATCGACCGGTCTTCCTGAATGTAGAAAATGAGAAGGTCACAGAAACTAGTACGCTGCCAAGGTGGAACTACAAGAAGGCTGACTGGACAATGTTGAAGCACCATACCAGTATACTACTTGGAAGTCTCATCGTAGACCAGGATATAAATAAAGTAGTTAAAGAATTTAACAAATGCGTACTAAAGGCAGCAGGAGAATCAATAACAAGAGGTGACCGTAAGCATTATAAGCCATACTGGAGTAATGAGCTAGAAAATTTACATAACGAAGTAGAAACATCCAGAAAGATAGCAGAGAACAGGCCAAACCAAGAACATCACAATAACTACCAGCATGCAAAAGCAAAATTTGTAAGGGCAAAGCTGCAGGTTAGAAGGGAAAGCTGGCAGGAGAAAACAAGGTCGCTGAACTTTGAAAAAGACACAAGAAAGTTATGGAAGCTTGTGAAACAAATTAATGATGAGGACACAGGGTGGAACTCAAAGATCACACTGCAGAAATATGGAAACATGGTCAAAGGAAAAGAGGCAGCCAACCTGTTTGCGGACACTTTTGCTTTAGATAACGACATTGAAATCAGTTCAGAGAAAAAACACAAAATTCAAGAAAAGACACAATTTAGAAGTCAGAAAGAAATAGCATCAGAGGCGCTAGAGGTGCCAATTACACTAAATGAACTGGAGTTGGCCATTTCAAAGCTGAAAATGCGGAAGTCACCAGGAGCAGATGGTATATCAAACGAAATGATCAGAAACTTAGGAAAAGTAGCCAAAACAAAGCTTTTACAGATATTTAATGCTTGCTGGGCAACAGGGAATGTTCCACACATCTGGAGAGAGGCAATTATGATACCCCTCATAAAGCCTGGGAAAGACAGTTCTAATGCCTCCAACTACAGACCGATCAGCCTCACAAGTTGTCTCTGTAAAACAATGGAGCGCATCACCAACCTCAGACTACAGTGGTACATTAAAAGTGAAAACATAATTACACCACAGCAGGCGGGCTTTAGAAAGTTCAACTCTACGGAAGACCAGACAACATACTTCTCCCAAGAAATAGAGGATGCTTTTCAAGATAAGAAACTGGTACTCGCGGCATGGATAGATTTAAGGAAAGCTTTTGATAAGGTTTGGAAGGAGGGGCTTTCGAAGAAATTGAGAAACTATAAAATAAATGGAAAAATGTACAATTGGATTAAAGCATATCTACATAACAGAAGAGCCCGGGTACAGGTAGATGGTTTTAAAAGTAAAAAAGTTCTTCTGCGACAAGGTGTCCCTCAAGGTGGTGTCCTGTCGCCCACTCTTTTCCTTTTATTCATCAACGATCTGGCTGCTGAGATACCAAATGGAATCAAAATGGCAATGTATGCCCACGACCTGGTACTGTGGTGCACCAATGAACATGCAACGATAGCCACAAAAACACTACAGCGGGCTACAAATGCACTTGAGGCATGGGCCAATAGATGGTGTGTCAGCGTCAACACAGACAAATGTAGCACCACACTATTCACCCTCTCCCCAAAGCAAAAAGTCGGCACCATCAAAATAAACGGAATACCCCTGAGAGATGATAAAGAGCCCACATACCTAGGAGTCACATTTGATGACAGGTTGACATGGAGAAAACATATCAACAAGGCAGCAACCAAAGCCAGGAGGAAGACAGCAAAACTAAGAAAACTAAGTGGAACTACATGGGGAGACGATGGGAAAATACTAAATAAAGTATACAAGCAGAGCATACTTCCACACTTGGAATATGGGTCAACTGCATGGTGTTCAGCATCTAGTACCACTTTAAAGGAGTTAGACAAAGTGCAAAATCAAGCGCTCAGAGTCATCACAGGAGGGATGAAATCAACCCCCATATTAGAAATGGAGAAAGCTGGGAAAACACAGGCACTGAGAGAACGCAGAGATACAAAGTTGCAAATACAAGCTGAAAAGTTCCTCAGTATGCCAGATCACCCGATGGAAAATAGATTAAAGAACCTAGCCTTGGGACGGTTAAAAAGAAGCAGCTTTATACACCAAGCAAAAAGAATATGTAGACAAACTGCTGACCTTCCAGAAATTGGTTGCCCACTTAAAAGTATTCCGGAACAAACCCCATGGAGAGAAAAATGTAAACTAACGGTACAAATCCAGACAAATGTGAAAGGGATATTTGACAAGAAAGAGCAAGATAGTGTACAACGCAGAATGGCCACCCTCAGTTATATTGATGAAGAATACCCACAAGAACAATGGGTCAGAGTCTATACAGATGGGTCCGCAGAAAGTGCAGTTAGAAATGGTGGCGCTGGAGTGTACATCGAATTCCCAGATGGTACTAGGGATAAGTCCAGCGTACCAGCCGGGAAGTACTGCCATAACTACGATGCAGAAACCCAGGCTATCAAGATAGCTACAGAGAAACTGCTAAATACCAACCTTGGCTCACAGTATGTGGTAATGCTGACAGATGCTAAATCAGTACTTGAAGCACTCCAGTCTAGGAAACTACCAGAATTGCAAACACTGCTGACACAACTCAGCGTTCAGCGAAGAGTCGTAATGCAGCGGATACTGTCTCATTGTGGAGTGCCTGGAAATGAGAAAGCTGATCAATTGGCAGGGGAAGGTGCGACAAAAGGGCAGCTGGATGTACCAGTCACATACCACCAAAAGAAAAGAATCATTAAATCGATCAGGAAACCACCAGCCCCAGCACAAGACGACTATTTTATTATGGACAGATCAGAACAAGTCATTATCCTCCGCTTCAGAACAGGGTACAACCGATTACGTAACTACATGTACACACAATTCAAGATAGGTGTATCAGCTATATGCACCTGTGGAAATGTGCCCCAGACAGCAGAGCATGTACTCCAGGACTGCACCAATTTTGACACATTAGGCAAACCTTTTGGCCAGAAAGAACAACAGTGGAACGTACGCTCTATGGACCACTGAATGAATTAACAACAACAGTGAAATTTATACAAGAGACAAAACTGCTGATATAGACAACTTATTTCAGGAGAACGAAAGAAGAAAGAAGAAGAAGATTTCTCTCGCCTATGTACCATTAAAGAATGGCAGAGATAAATGTGATTTTTCTTTTAATCTGTAACTGGTCTAATAGTAGATTGAGGCAGAAATCACAAATTTATTTTAAGCATGTAGTAAGGCAATCCCAGTCAGCAAAAAGAAACACCTCATACAAAGCATATGCATTCCCATCCTATGTTCTCAGTGCCAGACGTGGTCACTCACAACAACAACAAAACTAAACAAAAATGAGTAACTGGAAATGAGGTGCATGAGAAAGACTGTAGAAGTGAATAGAAGAGCTAAAATCAGGAATGAGGTCATATGAGATAAAGTCGACACAGAACCAGTTGTAAATTACATACAAAGACAGCAAATGAAATGGTTTGCTCATTTGGAGAGAATGCCTCCTGATGCTATACCATACAAGGCATTTACAAAAAGAGGATAAGGGCGTAGAGCAAGATGTAGACCAAGAACAAGTTGGGAAGATAACATAAGAGAAACTCCACAGCACCACAATGTGTCTATGGTCGAAGCAGCCAGAAGAGCAAGAAGCAGGACTTTATATCTCCCTCGACGCCCATAGCTGGAAAATAGGACGTAAAAAAGAAGAAGAAGAAGATAGTAGTAGATGTGAAAGAAAGGCTGGTAGAACAGTTAAGAATGCTGGGCTGTTATTCTGGAGATCCAGGTTGAAATCCTCAAAAAGCTGATGGATTTATTTGCTGTCTGGATCAAAAATTAAACTCAACCTGCATAGTTTACAGCAACTGCAGCCTTAAATCATCAGACTTGGTGTTGTTTTCATGTGAAGTGAAAGAGTTCCACCTACCAGACATGGATTCTGATAATTCTTTTTTGGCATCTCGGAATGGTTTTGATAAAAAGGTGGCGAAGTCGCTGACAACATGCCAGAGCATGTAACTGTTTAGAATCCTGGAAGGAAACACAAATAACAACACATAACTTGCTGTCCTCGTCATCATAGAATTATTGTTAGTATTGTTAATATTATTGCTATCATCATGATTTTCTTCTTCCTCCTCTACTTGTTCTTTTTCTATTTCCACTTATTGTTGTTAGTGGCGGTCGTGGCTTATGTGTTGCGAGTTCGACTCATAATTCCAACATACGGTGATCGAAACCCACTGCTGGCTGCATGGATTTTTATCACGGTACTGGGCATGGCAGGTCGACTTAGCATAAAATGGGTACCAGGATGAAAGTAAAGATAACCGGGGTAATACTGACCACATTACTCACCTTGTGCCGATGGTCTGTAAAAATATGGATGCTCTTCATATATACTCGATACGCCTAAAGGCATGATAAGAGATCTTTACTTACTTTACTTCTTGTTGTTTCTTTTTTTTTTTATTCCTAATTATTCTCCTCTTTTTTCTTCTTCTTCCTCTTCTTTTTCTTCCTCCACCTCCTCCTTTTCTTCTTCTTCCTCCTTCTCCTTCATCTTCATTTATCCTGCTTCTTCTTGTTCATTTTCTCCTCCTGGATCGTTCTCCTCCCAGTTACTTTATTAACATCGCCTTCTTCTTTATCTTCATTTTCTTTCGTCCCCTTCCTTTTATTCATTTTGTCCCCATCCCCCCATTTTTTCACCCTTTGTTTTTTAAAAAGCCATTAATATGTTGTGCTACAATTTACAGTTGCCTTTTTGAGAGTGCTTGTTAAGGTTTTAGTGGGTTTATTTATCCTCTCCCCTTACACAGACACACACACCTCAATTCGTCTCTGTAATTTAGCCACATGCTTTATCAAATTCAAACCAAACTGAACTTGGTGGATAATATAATCAGTAGTACACTGGTAAGCATTTATTTCCAAAAGTGTTTATTTATACCCAATTTTATAAACATAGAATTTATAACATCTACATTTTTAACTTAAATTTCAAAGACTGTATATGGCTGCGAACCTCTACCTTCCGCATCCAGCATGCAGACAGGCCACCTAGTTGCTTTGCAGCCGCAACCCTTTAGTTATCCAAAACGAGGTAATTGAGATAAAAGAGATCACATCTAGAGTAACGAACAAGAAGAATGGACCACTCACCTCTGACCAGTCTGGGTTGATGTGTAGTTTGCTAGAACTGAGTTCAGTTTAGCTAAAAACTCTGGAGCGTACACGACCACTTTCTCTGTTGGGACCACAGTGATGTTTACCTCATCCAACAAGTGGCTCATGTAGTGCACCCATTTTACCTGCCGGCGGAAGGAGAAAGCACACAAAAATAAGTGTTAATCATCTCTAAATTCATCATCATCATGTAGTAGGTCCTTTGCAGAACATCCCTCTCATCACGGTCAGTCTAAAAGAAACAGTCTCTCGCCAGCTCTCCCGCCTCATGTACTTTCACACTCAATGAGTCATTTATATCCTGTGCCCATCTTTGTGTTGGTCTGCCCCTGTTCCTCCTTCCTGGTACCATGCCTTCTGCTATAATTTTTTCCAATCCGTTGTGGCGCTTGATTTGACCAAAATATTTCAGCTTCCGAGACAGGATGCTGTTTATAAGCCAATATTCCTTGATGTTCAGATCTAACAAGAGGTTAGTATTTATCCTCTTATTTGTCCAAAATATTCTGTGAATCTTTCTATAGCATTTCAGCTCAAAAGTCCCTATTCTCTTTCTTAAGGACTGGGAGATAGTCCACAACTCACATCCGTATGCTGCTACAAGGAAGATTCATGCTCTTAAAATTCTAATTTTGATCTCCTTGCTGGTGCTTAACCATAGACTTTTTTAGGCTGATTAATCTTTGCATTGCTAAATTTAAAAACAAAACTTAAAAAAAAAATACTTTTAAACACCTCCAACACAGATATTCCATGAGAAGATATGCGACTGTCCAGCATCTTCTCTCGCCGTGCTTCTTCTCCCGACCAACTTTCCCACCATCACAATGTACTCCACTTTTCTCCTTCTCAAGACGTGACCAAGAGCGTAAATTGTCTCCTTCTGATGTGGGCAATCAGTTCTCTTTGTGAGTCCGTTTCTTTCAAGACATCTTCATTATTCTTTTTATCTATCAAGAGTATTCTTATCATCTATCTATAAAACCACATCTCCATCGCTTCCAAACAAATGTTCACTAACCATCCAACTGTCCATGATTCACTTCCAAATATCAGGAAAGGATATGTTTAGTTGTTGAGAATTCTCCTTTTTGTCTCAGTTGACAAAGAAAGATTGCACAGAATATTCTTTATTTTGTAAAGCACACCTTCTGCTTGAGCTAATATAAATTTAATTTACTGAATACTTCTTACGTCTGTTTTTATAAAGATTCTCAAATACTTAAACATGAACCTGTTTTAACTGTTTAGTATTCTTGCCAGGAGTCGCTGTGGCGTTGCAACTAGACTCTAGCCTGTGGATTGGAAGGTCGTGGGTTCGCGTCCGGAAGGAGCCAGACTTTTTTCAAAAATTTACCCTGACTTGAGTGGGTACCAAGTGCAGTCCAGGAAAGTAAAAGCATTGAGAATTCTCCTTCTCGTCTCAGTTGACAAAGCAAGATTACACAGAATTTCTTTATGTTGTTAAGTACCCCCTTTTGCTTGAGCTAATATAAATTTAATTTACTGAATACTTCTTAAGTCTGTTTTTATATTCTCAAATACTTAAATGTGAACCTGTTTTAGTTGTTTAGTATTCTTTCTGGGAGTCACCGTGGCGTTTGTGGCTAGAAGCCAGCCTGTGAATCGGAAGGTCGTGGGTTTGCGTCCGGACGGAGCCAGACCTTTTTTTCAGAAATGACCTTGATTCACAGGTCAACCCAGCCTTGAGTGGGTACCTGGAAAGTAAAAGCGGCCGGCATGATGCTGACTACATCACCCATCAAGTGCCGATTGTTCTATAAAAATTTTGGCCTAGCCCTATATTCCCAAAACACCTAAAGGCTTGAAAATAGGACCTTAGTATCCTTGTCCCTGCAGCGAGGCACTGTTGTTATTTGGAGGTGAAAGATTCCATTCTCCACAGTAACTTTGGCTTTCGATTTGTATGTTGTCTAGTGTGTCCTTCTGTCTTTCTGCTTCTTTCTTTGAGTGCGACTTAGTATATGTCTATTTGCTTATTGTGATCACGATGAGGTAAGACTAGGTCACTTACCTGAGGAAATGATCTGGATACGTTTGCCAGGTCATAGACATGGTAGTTTTTAGTCTCGTCTCGCCGCTCGTCCTGGGGCACTGTGATCTGAGAGGTAACAACATGGAGACAGTCAGTCAGTGGTGGTTTTTAGTTTTATCCTTCTCCTCCAACTCCTTCTTCTTTTTCTCCTCCTCTCCCTCTTCTTCTTTTTCTTCTTCTCCTCTTCCTTCTTTTTGTTCTTCTTGTTCTCTTTCTTTTTCTTGTTTTCTTTTTCTTCTCCTCCCCCCCCCCCCCTCTCTTCTTCTTCTTCCTCTACTCCTACTTTTTCTTCTTCTTTTTTCTTCTTTTTCTTTTTTCTTCTTCTTTTCTTTTCCTCCTCTTCATGTACCCCTTTAGACTCCTGCTTTCCTTCTCCTCCTCCGCCTACTTATCATCCTCCTCCTGCTCTCCCCCTTCCCCTTCTACTTTTTTTCAATGATCAACTAACATTTGTTTTATACGTATTTTTACCAGTCATGTGGTCAACATGTGTACTTACATTGTTCAAATGTATTGCGATCAGTTGTGTGGTCAGCTTGTGTACTTACATTGTTTAAATAAACTTCTATCAGTCGCGGGGTCAACTTGTGTACTTACATTATGCAAATGTATTTCTATCAGTCAAGTGGTCAAAATATGTTGGATGTCCTTATTTATTTCCATAGTAATAAGTTTTAAAATGGTCAACTTACGTACTTACATTTGTCAAGTAACAGTAACGTACTTACTTCTATTAGTCGCATGGTTAACTTGTGTACCTACATTGGTCAAATCATGTATTTATATCAGTCAAGTGTTACATATAATGTACTTACATTGGTTAACTAAAGTTCTATCAAGTCAGGCAAGTGGTCACCATATGTACTTACACTGGTCATCATGTAATGAAATGTGGCTCTACTCCGAACTTCTACCCCGGCATTATGGCGGCCAAGCAAATAGCCTAACAGGGCCTCAGTCATGTGTAAAATGCGGACTTTTTGCCAAGGAACCAATCGCTGTAAAACTAGGATCGGCTCTGAATGACGAAACAAATGCTCTAACAGGGTCTCAGCGATATGTTAATTGCGGACCTGTTTCTGCGACTATGCCGAACCGCCGAAAGTATCCCCCGCGTCGCTAAGCGCGGATGGGGGCTAAACTAGATGGCTGGGACTCACGAGCAGTAGTTACCGCATCTCCTGCAACTTCCTCTAATTCATTTGCTCGTGAGTCCCAGGCATGTAGTTTAGATCCCCATTAACGCCGCGCGTAGCGGCATGGGGGATACCTGTCGGCGGTGAGTTTAACCGCGTTTTGCGCATGCCGAAAGGTGTGAGGACAACAACGACGCTAATCTGATTCGAAGCGCATGGTCTCACCGCCATGTGGCTATTATCGTCTGTAATGTTGCGAGTCTCGAATTTGTCAATGGTCGCTAGTATCGTCTGCAGAAACGCTTGAAATTGTCAAAGGTTGCTATTATCGTCTGCTACTATCGTCTGCAGTATTGCGTCTCTTGAAATTGTCAAGTAATCCTAGTTTTGCCGCGATTTGTTCCTTGGCAGAAAGTCCGCATTTTACACACGACTGAGGCCCTGTTAGGCTATTTGCTTGGCCGCCATAATATTGGGTAGAAGTTCGGAGGAGAGCCGTACTACTTCTCTCAGGGTAGTCGGATGGTCAACTTAATTATTACATTGGTCAAGCAGTGTACTTCTGTCATTCAGAATGTCAACTGGTGTACATACATTGGCGAGTACGGTTTCAAAATCAATGACTTCGATCATTCGCTCCCTGGTAAAGGTATCATTGGGAGCTCCTAGTAGATGGAACACATCTACCATATACTTCAGGTAGGCAGACAGCACCTGCGGATATCAATAAACATCCAGAATGATCGCCCTTCTGCTCACACACAATAAATTATACAGGGTGTTTTTAAAGTCTCACTACACTTTGTGTGTAGAAGAAATTTACGAAACGAAGTATGACATCGTCAAAACATGTGTTCCACAGTCAACAGAAAAGCACAGTTACTGCAGCTTTCCGCTAGTTAGAGAACACGACACACACACACATGGTGATTGTAACTGATTCAGAAAGCATGCTGAGGAAGGTAACGACAGACATGCTTCGTGCAGAGTGGCATTCTTTTCTGCGGAGGACACACGTGAGAAGTACTGTCTGGATTTTTTCACCGGGATATGCCGATATGTTGGGAAATGAACAGGCAGACTGACTCGCTGGCTCTGCACAACTTGGGGAAAAAACTAATGCATGATAGGGCAGACCTGGTTAGTGCTTTGTGGGAGTGCGTGTACAGTTCGGAGGAGCAGATGAATCACCAGTCTGGTGAGATTGATACAGCGGGGAGGGACGAGGGGTTCTGGGAGATGCTCGAGGCTCAGAGGAAAGGCAAGACAGGCGTTTAATCAGAATGCTACTGGCACCATTAATATCGGAACTCTGCATTGGCTGCTGACGATGGAGACGGAGTGCTTATGGGAATGCCCCTGGGTGCTGTGATGTCGGATCTTGAATCAGCTCAACTCACTGAAGCATTATGCAGTGAATAACTGTGGTCTGGTGAAGTAATTCTCTGCACTCAAAACAGAATGGTGTTATCAGCGGAAGAAAGAGTTGTTTGGGCTGAACAAGTGTTTATAAATGGCAGTCGATACACACAGAGAGTTGCAGAGAGTATTTGATTATATAAAGAGAGGTGTACAAACATGTCTTGAATCTCATGGCGGATATTTCCAACACCTATTATAATAAATTTGTAATTGGTACTGTCTAGCTTTACCAACACAGAATTAGACCATAGCAATAATTATCGTAACTAATTAATTTACATAATAAAACAGTTATGATGATGTCAAACAGTTCATTTTTCAAATTAGTTCTGCATACAGAACAAGTGTAGTGAAACGTTTTAAAAACACCCTGGATAGAAGGCAACCGTCAGTCCCCAGGGACCATAGAGTTGTACTATGGTTTTGGAAACAGCGTCTGCTATTCTCTATATATTGAAATACACTGATCTTCTTCCTTTTTTTTTCTTTCGCGTTCACTAGCTGTAAACTTTGGCAGAAAGTTCTGGTTGTTCATCCACTTCTGGACTGCAGTCGCGTTCCAGAACCTGAGTGTTGCGTGTGCATCCGTTTTACAGATATGACTCATTTGTATGCAGACTGCTGATTCCTTACCTCTCAGGCAGATGTAAACCGACTTCGAAGGAAGCTCCCAAATAGTTCACTTTTACGACATGCTTTAGGCAGTGGGTCTATTCTTGTTTCCCCCACAATAGAGCCCAGGAATGAAGACAGATGAAACCGCCCCAAAATGGGACGCAATTTTTCGTTATTAAAAAGCCCCACTACGGCTGTTGTCAGGGAGCCCGAATATAACCTAATGGTACCAGCAGATTTCGCTGGATATTCCCAAGATGGCAATAGTCACTTGAACATAAAATACGGCAACCTGTCACAGATGTCGCAACACATCGCCCATTGGCTCGCCAGTAGACGACTTCGTCGACAGGTCAGAACAGTATTTGGGTCTGTCTCCTTTGATCGTATCAACACTGCAGGAGTCCTTTTTAGGGATTTTTAGTGGCGTGCTATGCTAAGCCATTTTATATGGCGCACATAACCTAGTCACAATTACAACCTAAAGCTCCCCTTTCATCCTGGTTGAGGGTGACGATTTTTCCCCAATGAAGACTTACCTACATAAATAACTACTAGAGTTGAGGACCCTTTCCACGATGTCATGTGTTAATGAGCATATTTGGCTAGACCTATATTTTATAGACCAATCGGCACTCAGGGGTGATGTGGTCAGCATCACGCCAGCCGCCTTTACTTCCCAAGAGTGTATCTGGTACCCACTCAAGGCTGGGTCGACATGGGAGACAGGGTCATTTTTGAAGAAAAAAAGTCCCCGTTAGGACCCGAACCCACGACCTTCCGATCCACAGGCGAGCGCCTAGCCGCTACACCATGGGGGCTCCCTTTCTGTAGTAAGTTTAGGCTAAACTTCAACTCAAAATGATGGTTGCTTAGTACACATGGGCAAAAACTGATTACACATGGTGCGTTGGTTGTGACTAATATGGTTAGTTTGTTTGATTACAGAAAATGTTTTTCCCGGAGTCTACAAAAGTTATGTTTTTTTTTTTTTTTTCAATTAAATAGAAAGTTGTGTGCTTTATTAATATCCTAACCTAAACATGGAAAATCCACAGGTCACGGGACAGTCTAATATTTCAGGAAGTGGTAGATAGGCTGTATGTGGTCGCGGGACCTAAGCGGGGCTGCACTCTCTCGTGGGACGTAGGCGGGTTGGGGTTAGAACCAGTTCTAGATGTTTTAGGGTAGTTAAAAGAATCAGAAAGCTGGGAAACCCAGTCTTACCACCCTTTAGAATGTTGGACTGTCCTGTGACGTCATCTTAGGTATGATATTAATAAAGAACCGAAAGATGTATGCCAATAAGTTAGGGATTCTTTAATTGAAAATAACAATACAGAAAACATTAAACACGCTACAACAGACTGACCTTGTCGTCTGTCAGCGATTTGTTGAGATAGTATTCTCTCTCTGGAAGACCGAGCCCGCCTTGATCGATCTGTAGTGGATAAAGCGTTCTCTATTTAGAAGCCTTCTCGTGTGTTAGTCTGGTGACACCACACAACAGACAGACAAACCTCAGACGACAAACAAATAGGAAAAGACAAACAGACAAGAGACCGCAAGCAAATAACAGATTGGCGTCCAACAGACAAACAATGCGCAGACAATAAAGCAGACCCCAGACAGACAAGCAGACATACAAAAGATAGAAAAACAGACAAACAAACAAAAAATATGCAATAGTCAGACAGTGATGCAGCAGACAGACAAGCAGACCAAAGTCAGACAGAGAAGCAGGCAGACAGAAAACCAGACAAGTAGACTTTAAACAGACAAGCAAACTACAGAAAAACAGATTTTAATTTTTTTTTATTTTAATATCCAGAAACCATGAGTTGTTAACCCTGTGGCTCGGTATTATGGATATCGCAACCCTTCGGCCGTGATTCCATGATAGGTACCGTAAATCTGGGAGGAAATGTGGCTTTTCTGCCCACCCCCCGGAGTGAACCCGGACCACAAGGAGTTCGTCACCCGGTCACCGCGATGTCAGGTTTAACCAACTACGCTAGAGAGCCGGGCATAGATAAACAGATAAAGCCACGGAGGGAACAGACAGACAAGTAGACAAGAGACAAACCTACAACAGACAAATAAGTAGACGATATACTTATAGACACCAGACAAACATACAGATAAACTGACAATAAATATACAGACAACTGACAGACAAGCAAAGAACAGATAAGAAGACAGTACATCCCAAAAAACAGACAAATCCAGCTGACAACACCAGACAAACAACAGACAGAGAGGCAGACAACAGCGGAACAAGCTGGTAACAAGCAAACAACAGACATAGAAGCAGCCAGACAAGCTTAACTTGATAATTGCCTGGCATTGAATAGATGAACTCATCCAACGATGCCTAAAGCTCACAGACGACAGCTGTCCTACACTAAGGAGACAAAAATACCCCCACAACTCATGGCCTCAAGGTTGAAACAGAAGGACGGAGAGGATAATGATTGTATCGACAAGTATAGTGGAATGTCTGGGGCGTGTTCCCATCACATTAGCGCTTGAAATTTTGCCCCTATTAAACATTGCAGATGTTGCTGTTGGTAACCAGAAGTATGGATTTGGTAATGACAGAAGAATTTTCTTGCTGTTGTTACTGGCCTGTTATTGTTACCACTGTTACGTCATGGGAAGTAAATGCGGCCGACGTAGTATTGACCACTTAACCCATCAAGTGCCGATGTGTCTATAAAATATAGGTCTAGCCCTATATGTCCAATTCACCTAAAGGCGTGAAAGGAGTCCTTTACTTTTGTTGTTGTTTTTCCTTTTTGTATTTTTTTTTCTTTTGTTATTGCTGTCATTTCTTTTTTTTTTTAATTATTGTTTCTGTTGTTGTTTTTATGTTTTTGTTGTTTTTATTTTTGTTACTATTGTTTTTTCCACTTTCATTTCTATTATTGTTCCTAAAGTTATTATCAGTCGAAGCTTACTGGCTTTAGAATCATCACTTTACAAAATACATTTGGATCCTGGAGTACTAGGCTTCGTTTCCAATCTTGGTCCTGGAGTACTAGGGTTCGTTTCCAACACTGATCCTCGACTACTAGGGTTCGTTTCCAGTCTTGATCCTACTGTAGTAGGGTTCGTTTTCAGTTTTGATCCTCAGATACTAGGGTTCGTTTTCAGTCTTGATCCTATAAGACTAGGGTTCGTTTCCAGTCTTGATCCTATAGGACTATGTTTCGTTTTCAGTCTTGATCCTCGAGTAAAAGGTTTCGTTTTCAGTCTTGATCTTGGAGTACTAGGGTTCGTTTCCAGCGGCGAAAAAAAGGGGAAAAGGGGGGGGGGGGGCATTATCGCTGTTTTCGGACAGTAGTGGCGTTTCAGCGGGTTATATTCTCAAAGACAGTCGTGGTGTACAGTAGCCAATTTAAACTATGGACAAGACACAGATATTTCTGTTTTATAAAGATTACTTTATACAGACAGCTGCTGGCCGAGTGGTTAAAACGTTCTCATGCGGGAGATGCGGGTTTGACCTCACGTATAGTGATGGCGGTATCTCTGTCAGGGGCAAAATTAAAACATCTTAAGCCGCACAGTCTGTGGCGACAGCACTAGCCATGCGGCCCTAAATCCTCAGGCTCAAGCCCCCGTCCCACCCCAACCCCGTCTACACCGCTCTAAAATGTGGTTATAGTAACAAT